CTTTCATGTAATTATAACACCTGAACCTTTTACAACATGGGTAGGAATAATTTTCTGAATGTGTTCAATTCTGTAGAATGAGAAAAGAAGTGTACAACATGCCCAAACACCATGTTTCCATGACTAAATCTAACTAAATAACAATAAAAATGAGTCAGAATTTAAAAGAGTAATGTAAATAATTTAAGCTGATAGCCCATAAGTGACAAAATATAAATGATAGTCATGTTTCTAAAAAGGCTCGACATACAAATAGTACAGTAGGTGGTAACATTTCCAATAATGGTAATCACATACTTTCTTATTTGGCTTACAAAAAAGAGATAAAAACGAAAACAATGGAATCTTTAAGTAAAAGAGAAATGTACAAATATATATGAAACTAAGACAAATATTCAAAGACATTCATGAAACCAAACAGTAACAAAATTATAAATGCTGCAATTAATGAATTGGAAAGAATAAGATAATTAATAATTTGAGAAAGTGTTGCTCTTACTTAAGAACAGCATACACTCCTCCAATTCTTACTAAGAACTAAACAGAGTAAACAAAACTACACAGTACTGGGAATGAACAAGCGGATGACACCATGAAAACTCAAGCATATAAGATGTTCCAAGAATACTGCATCCCCCTCAATGATGACAGATTTCTAAATCAGGGTGAAGCTGATAATTTTGTGGGAAACAAAACTTAACAGAATTGATACAAAACATTATAAACCTGAGCACAACAATAACTGAAAGGAATAAAAGAAGTCCAGTTCAGATTTTTTTTCACCCATTTATTTCAAAATGTTCCTGAGTATCATACAGGATGGAAAACTTTCCAGTGGTCTTCAAAATTAGCTTACACCTGATACTAAAGTATGGTAAACATAACTCATAATAAATAACGTGTTTGAAAAATGTAATTATTTATTTACTAAACAAAAGTAAGTCAATAAAATCAGAACGGTCTAATTTTAAGATGAATAAAATTTGTGAGCACACAGTTCACCACCACACATTGTAAATAAACGTAAGAGATGAGCTACTTGTGGACTGAAGGAGACGTTTTGCCCACCTGGTTAGCAAGGAGTTCATAAACTGATTAATACCTAGTGTGGTGGGTTAGACAAAAAAGAACTGTAATTTTTTGTTTGTTTGTTTTTTGTTGTTCTTGGGTTTTTTTGTTTTTTGTTTTGGGGGGGCTTGTTTTTTTTGTTGTTGTTGTTGTTGTTGTTGTTGTTTTTTGTTGGTTTTTTTTGTTTTTGTTTTTGTTTTTCAGTACCAGGGACTGAACTCTGGACCTTGCACTTGCACTTGCACTTATTCACTGAGCTATCTCTCCAGGCCCTATAATTGGTTCTTGATGAAAGGATAAGGCTTTGAAAGAGAGCACTTTCATGATATTTATTCTGAAGCTGTTTTTGGATTGGATTATATAACCAGACTTAACAATTTCAGTGTGTAAGTATACATTATAGTAGATAGAAATATAACAATTTGGAAGTGACCAGACACAGGAAAAGCTGTATATACAATGCAAACTATTTGATGTACATTAGTTATGACACTGAGACATTTCAATGTTCCAAGAGAAAAGTTTACCTGAGAAAGAATTTAATTGGAATTTCACAAAATTACACAAACATTTAAAATAATGTCTCAGGGAAGCTTTTTTGTTGTTGTTTTTTGTTTTGTTTTGTTTTGTTTTTTGCACCAGGGGTTGAACTCAGGACCTTGCACTTGCCAGGCAGGCACTTAAGCCCCTGAGCTGTCTCCACTATTTAAAATAATAATAACCAAGCTGGCACAGAGGCCAGTGGTTCTATCCCCGGGCCTGCAGTGCAGTTCCCCCACCCCCACCCCCAGGGCTCATTGAGCCTGGGTGTGGTGGCCCGCGCCTGTAATCCCAGCTCTTGGGAGGCTGCAAACAGGCTGATAACTATGAGTCTGATCTAGTAGTGAGACCCTGTGCACCCTGTAGACCCTTCCCTAAAATACAAATAATAATAGTAATAATAATAACTCTCTTTACTAACATGGAAATGTTCATAATATTTTAAGAGAAGACAAGGTTTATATGCTACTATGAATAACAATAATATCATTTTTGTAAATGTATGGAGATAAACAGATATCTAGATATATCTAATATACCTATTTGGATATGTACATGTACAATTATACATATTGACACTAGTACCTAACAGAAGCCACTTTAGTAGTAGAATCATTCTGTAGAATTTCTGAATTATCTAAATTTTTAGCATCTCTTTGTGTAGTTTTTGCGCCCAGGCCTGGGCTGAGCTAACATCTGCTTGTTTCTGCACTAGGGTGAGGGTGGGGAAAACCACCAGTGTCTCTGCAATGTGCCCACCAGCAGCCTGTCCCTATTTTCTACCCTCTGTCTTCTCTCTGGTTTTTGCCTTTCTTTTTTTTCTTTTTCTTTTTCTTTTTCTTTTTCTTTTTCTTTTTCTTTTTTT